TTTTGGCTTTGAAAGAGCTAAAAGAGCCACAAATACCAGTCCAGAAGACAATGGAGCTATGAAGATCTGCATACAGCTGAAACATAACTGAAAAGGGCAGCTCCAAAGAGCTTGGAAATGCTGCGGTAAAGAAGAGCAGATGATCTTCAGGGTATTTTAAAAGAAAGTCCTCAGTTCAATACCATGCAGGTTCACACTACTGTATCCCTCACAAAAGCTTGAGGAACAAAATCAAAACTTTCCATTTCGTTCTGTCTGAGAGCAGAAAGGAACATGTTATTATCTTGTCTTACCTGTCATGTATCTTGTCATTTATTTCTACTTGGTCACCGTTATGACCTCGCTTGCTAACTTGAACCTTGTAAAAGGATGTCAGGTCTCAAGAGACTGAGCTCTTTCGTGCAACAGGCAGAGAACACAAGAAATGGCAAGATGAAGGGGGCATATAGGGATGCTGGGGATGGACTCTTCATTAGGGACTGTAGTGGTAGGGCAAGGGGTAATGGGTTAAAACTTAAACAGGGGAAGTTTAGATTGGATATAAGGAGGAAATTCTCTCCTGTTAGGGTGGTGAGGCACTGGAATAGGTTGTCCAGGGAGGTTGTGAATGCTCCATCCCTGGAGGTGTTCAAGGCCAGGCTGGATGAGGCTTTGGGTGATATGGTTTAGAGCAAGGTGTCCCTGCCCATGGCAGGGGGGTTGGAACTTGATGATCTTAAGGTCCTTTCCAACCCTAACTGTTCTATGATTCTATGTAAGAATCTTGCAGTGGCAAAGATATTGATAAGACATGCTCAAATAATGCTAATGACACCCCAGCTCACACAGGGTCCTTGTCAGTCTGATGGGGAAATTTCATTCCAAGCCCCTATTTGGGAGTTACTCTCTTCCAGGACAGTGGCTTACTGCCTTTGTATGTGCACTTAACTAGGTGGTTCAGATCAGTCTCAAGGATAGCCTGAAAAGCATAAAATTACAGAGTCAGCAGGTGCTAAGCAGCTCATTGAACAGCTAAAATATCCAGTACACTTCCAGAAGCAAGTACTGGGGAAATCCTCCTGATTAAACTTCTGAAAATACCAACTGCCCTGTGAAATCCATGGTCATTCCACCAGGCAAGAATATTTGCAGCAGTGATGTACGAAAAAAAGAGCAAATGTTTAAATGGGTTTCTTGAAAGAGAGCACTTCTTCTATACCCTGCTCTTGCACATCAGCACAAGGCTCCTGCTTAGGATGCACTTTTGTTTAGAAGTGCGGTTTGAAGATACATTGACTTGATATTCACATTATTCATCCCACAACATGGCACATCTTGCACTATAGCACTGCAGCCTGGGAAACTCCCAGTAACGCAAAGCAGGAATCAGCTTTCTGATTCAGTAGTTGCGCAGCTGACGTACAGTTACACCCTTTGAGAGATTTCTTTAGAAAAATCACAAGTTTCAGCTAAAGTGCATACAATGTCATTACTCACAATGCAGTACTGTGTATCACGATTGAGAAATTCCGGCCACTTTTCATACTTTTGGTGTTAGCCTCGGATGCTTTATAAATGCTCACCACCTGCGTCATTCAAAGGAAAGCTGCACCCTTGTGCATGTGAAAACCGGGTGTGTATTCATTAACAGATAAACTCTTTTCAGATATAGAGATCAGTCCTTTCTCAGAAGTGTTGCACTTCTTAACAGAAGCAGAGCAAGCACTACCTTTATTAATTACAGTGTCTAAGCCAAAGCATGTAGAAATAATAGTAGAGTATGATGAATTGAGCCAATACTGTCAAATTTCACCACACCTTTGCTTTCTGCAGGTGTGGAGCCAAATGCCTCAATAATATTTATACAGGAACCTCACCACACCCTCTGGAAACTCATATGGTTTTAAATACTGCTAGAATATGTCAGCAAGGATTGCTTGGCAAGGGAATGCTTGCAAACTTACTCGTAGGAGGTACACAACAGATAGATATCTACTCTGTTTCAAAATAAAGACACGTGTATTCTCAACCAAAGCCTTAAAAGGAAAAAAGATATCCAAAGAACTAACCTCGCAAAAACTATTTGGGATTTCAGGGTGGTACAAACTTACCCTAAATAAACATCTGTTATAGCACAAACCAAAATCTGTTATAACCAGTCAAGGTGATGCATAGAACTTATTAATGTTCTCTTTTTTGAGCTGACAAGGTTAGGAAAAGCTCATGCCATGCTCTCAATTACATTATGACAGAGGCATCACCCAGAAGAGAGTCCTCCTCAGCACAGGAAGGTATCTAGTCACTCACTGACCTTACTAGTTTCTCAGTTGCTGTGCCCCTTACAGTTTTTAACTTTAAATCACACAGAGATCTAGAGAAAAATATATCAGGGATTAATTTAATCAGGGACTAAAATATTCTCAGATTTCAAAGCCTTTCTCCTCCCTGTTGTTGTATCTCTGAAGTCCTTTTAAGGGTTTTGGGACATTTAAATCCTTTCATGTTTATAAACTATTGGCCTGTTCTGGCTGAGCCAAAAAACTGAATAGAGTGCTCTGCTGATTGAACCAGGAATTCTTCCTTCCTGGATAAACAAACAGTGCTTATACTGGTAAAAAAAATAATTTGAAGATGTCAGGGAAACTGAAGATTCAACGGTTTCTTCAAACATCACTTCTTCCTTTGATCTACCTAAATATAGAATATGCTAGTTTTGATTTAAATCAGATTTTCAAAAGCTATACAGAATTGATAGCTAAATATGCTACCAATGAACGTGAAAACCAGCCATGGAAAGTCGTATCCTAAAATGGTGTGTGAAAGCAGAACCTACCATTTTTCTGTGACAGAAAGCCTTTCTCTCAAGACCCTCAAGAGCCTTTATAGAGCACTTGATTGTATTCTGTTCAGGCGTCGAGCATTTCATTTACTCGTCAATCTAAGTGTGCTAATGTACAGGACAGCACACTGTGTAAGAAAGTCACAGTGAGTTGTGCTAATTTATACTGTAACTGGAGGAAAACAAAATGCATTTATATACCTGGGATCTAGCCACGGCATTGATGTCCTGCCAGTATTTGTCCTGACCAAATATAAATGTGAATGGCTACAGTAAGAGAGCCCACAGGTTTACTTCCCTCAGGAATGGTACTGTTAATACAAATATAAGTCTTCTAGTGTGCTGATGTGTTGACTTAGTATGGAGTGGGAGTGAGAGTACCGCTGCTCCTGAGTCAGAAGTATCACCACCCATTGAATTGAGTCCTCTGGTAGTGTTACTTTAAAAGGACATTGGAAAACGTTATCAATTCATCACGTTGATTTAGCATATGATGTCCTTTGAGACTAGTATAATTTTAGTCACACAGTATGCTTTTTTGTTTTTTGCTAATAACCAGCCATGCCATTCAAAAAGTGTTTTAAAAAGGAAGCTTTAAGATCCTGTACAAAGGCACAAGCTGCTCATTCCCTCTAACCCAGCATTTCTGCATAAGCAGAACACCTCAGCCACTTCTTGTAAAGCAGTAAGCAATATTGTAAATTAACAAATCAAATTCACCCATTTTAAAACCAGAAAACCCACAGTAATTGCTCTAAGGGATAAAATCTATACAGTATTCTCTATCATTCATTCAACAGTGTGGCTAAATATGAAAAGATTACTCAAATCATTTAGGCTTTGGGAATCACTTAAGGCCAATGTAAACAGATTACAACTTTCCCAGGCACAATGGAAGCAATTAATTATGCAGTGAACACCTCTCCTACACTATGTTGCTCTCTGAAAAACCTAACAAACAGATGCATCTAATTATAAATCACACTGAAACCTGCTGGTCTTGTGTATCTACGATTTCAAAAGACCCAAGGGGCAGGAAAACACCATCTGATTAAAGTCGTGCAGTTCTTCACAGGTAGAAAAGCAACTTCAACAAAGCCTTTGGTTCCCAAATTATATTGATGCAGAAGGGTCACCATTGGCAAGGGACTCTTTGCAGTTGCACCTGCCTATGTCCAACACCAAATTTTGCAGGTACTCCCATGACTCATTCCTTATTACAAGGTCCTCTGTGCTAGCCACTGAGATTATGGTTTTAGCCCACATTAAATGTATGCTTATAGGCAGAAGAAAGGTCTCAGAAAGCAGTTTATGCCAAGAAGATAGAATTAGTGAGTCTTGCTCAGCGTCAAGGAAGCAGCTGTGGAGAGATAAGTACCTCCTAATGAGGACTTCAAGCTGGTATTATCAACAGTGCAGAGAGGTAAGGAATGAAGTAAAGGGCAAGGGTAGGAATACACAGGGGTTTTCTAAGTTAGGGGTTAGAGAGGGGATGGACAGCTACAATAGAGACAACAGAGGGAAGGACAGCATGACTGCAAGGAGAATCAGGGAAGGAGGTGTTTTAGTAGCCAGGACAAGGAAAAAACAAAAAAGAATTTGTCAGAATATCCATTTATGGAATGGAAAATAAGGAATAGCTCTCTGAAGTGCTACACTGGTCAAACAGCAGTTTTCAGATTAGGGTGGGGAAACAAGCAGAAGAGAAACGAAGTAAAACCTAAGACCCACACCAAGTTCTAGTTACCAGCGATTAAGAAAAGCAAATGTCCTGCGCCTGTTTCTCAACCTTCACTATCCCACAGTGACATTTCCCTGGTTGTACAGTCTTAGAATCCTCTGAGATTAACAAAATTCATTTTTCTAAAATAGAAACTCACCAGAAGCGACAAATAGCTTCTCAATACGAAACAGACAATAGAAAAACTCAAATATAAGAAGTCACTGTCTTCTCTCTGTCTGTTCAGTTAATGTGTCTAATTTCAATTAGATGAATCATAAAACAAGTATGTCAGCAACTGCAAATTTAAAACCCTCCAAACCACACAAAAAAAAAACCAACAAAAAAGTTGTTTGAAGTAGTGTGGGTTCGAGCTGTTTCTAGCCTGTTGCCAGAAAGGTGTTTATAGAAATACTTGTGCAGTCAGTTTTGTAAGTTTCTTGTATGGTATCATTCTCACCATCACTTCACATCCTACTCTGAGATGATTCAGTTCTTCTGAATGTGGGATGTGGCATACAGGGCATACAGTCATGAGTCATAAGAACTGTCCACTATAAATTTTCCCTACCCTTCATGTGAACTGCAGAAACCTTGGAGACAACCAGAAGAGCAGCATTCTTCCCTGAACAAAATAAGGTACTGTAATGATTTCTGGAGATTATTTATTTCAGATATTCTTAGATGGTGTTGCTTTGCTGACAAATGCATAAAAAAGAAAGGAAGCAGGGATTTGAACTGGAAATTGAAAATGCTTGGGAAAGTGATTTACGTGCACAGTCATTGTCTAGAATGTGGAAGTCTTACACAGGAAGAGCAATTTATTGTACAGAGTTCTATGATTTCTAGAGCTCACTGGCTAGCATATCTATCACAGCAAAGTAAGAACCACTGTGTTTGCTTAAGTCAGCTAATTTGTTCTTGTGCTCTGTAGTTCTTATGAACATCAGGTCAGCTCTTAGTTTGCAAGTTACCCAGGACACAAACTGTCTTTAATCCAAGGCCATCTAGTCCCGGCCTAAGCCTGGACTTAAACTAAACCTGCAATGCAAATGACAAACAGCAACATCTGTGGTCTACTGAACATTGAAACTGTCCTGCAGAAGAACTGGGAAGCTAGGATCTGGGATAGCACTGTAAGACAGAGTTTCAGGACATTTTTGAAAGTCAAAATGGGAATGCTTATCATGCAAAAGTCAGGGCAATGCTTGCCCAAGCATTGGCAGGAATATTTTGTCCTAAGGAATATTCTAAAGGAATAGTTTGACTGTTACTATTAACAGAACATTTGTTCACTACAGTTATGAGCATCAAAAGGCTCTTGCAGAAACTGAAGCATAAAAATTGTCTCTTAGTATCTACTAGCCCAGACAGTGGTGAGTAACATTGCCAGCTGTGGCTCCAAGATGCTGTAAGGACAGTGCAATAACTGTCCTGGTGAACAAATACAAAACAAGGTTGGAACCTGATTTTCCCCTAACCTAAATGATAGCTAATGAGTGTCATCAGTGAAACAGGACGTGCTAAACCTTGTCTGACTTTATAATGGTTAATCCTCCTCATTCTTAATATAGATAAATACTTTTAGAAATCCTTTAAATCACAAAAGAACATTCAAAAACCAAAGAGAAACTTGCAGAACATGTCAGTCAGAATTAGTGGTTTGCTAATAGCATCTTCCTTTCTGTGCAGGTTCAGAACAATGGAAGCTTTGAATAAAGCAAACACAAGCTTTGCTCTCGAATTCTTCAAACATGAGTGTCAAGAAGATGGTAACAAGAATATTTTGTTCTCCCCTTTGAGTATTTCATCAGCCCTCGCTACTGTTTATTTGGGAGCCAAAGGTAACACAGCAGATCAGATGGCAAAGGTGAGTCTGAGCTTCAAAAGGTAGCTGTCTGAAGGAGTTATCTCGTGGAGTAACTTTATGGAAGAAATTTATTGTGATGAAACAGAGGAAAGCCACAAGCAGAAAAATTAATCAAAACTCTACACACATATATGCTAGCTCGCATTTCACCCATGATGTGCACTGCAATTAATAGACCAGTTCTCTACTTACACAGATCAAAAAAATTGCCTACTCTAGCCTCTGGAAACAGGCCTCCAACAAATGAAAGAAGTGGCACTGGTGACATTGTTTCCTTTCAGATCTCACCAATAGAAATAAGGGGTTTTTATCCCAAAGATCAATAGAGTACTCAGCAGGGAGTGGGAGACTTGGATTCTCCTACTCCACCACAATTTCCATCTCATGTCTCACCTCTTTGGAAATGACTCCCCACAAAAAGACTCCCTCCTATAGCTATTGTTAAGTTTTGCACTTTGCTAAACATAAATCCACTTCCACCAGATCAGGGAACAAATGTGGTGAGACTACAAACCTTGCTTTGGGGTATGTATTTTACAGGCAAAATCTGTAATCTGCTGAAGTCCCTAAATTGTATTTGTGCAAAGTTCATAGCTTCAGCAGGCGGCTGTGGGAACAACCTCAGTGCACAGTTATCTAGCTCCTACCATAGGAGGTGAAGCTTGTGAGTTGCCATCTGCTAAAGTAGAAGTTGTCCAACCTGCTAAGGCAGATCTAACTTCTGATTTACAGGACTGAAGATGGCTGATAGGGTAACAGGGAAAGGAGCAATCTTCTGCTAAGAAGAAGGGAAAACAAACAAAAAAAGGGAGCATAGCTCTTTCAAAAAAAGTGTTCCAAGACTGAATGCACCCCTTTGTAGTCTGGCTAAAGTGTACAAGCTCAGAACAAGGTATTTAAGGCATGAAACTGCCTGCACTGTTTTTCATGCCTTCTGACACATAGCAGCACTACATTTAAACTTGTGCTTTGGTAGCCTCCACTGGGAGACAATTGGCTCTTCCCAGGTATTTACTAGTCAGCCCAGGGCGTTCCTACCTAGAGGAATCTACCTGCAACTCAAAGCAGGTAGATTCCTCTATATAGGTCAAGTAATGCCCTGCAGCCTTAGTGTGTCTTAGTGTGCACAAGCCATTTTGTACACATGGACCTTGACACCTAACCAAAGATTTCATATTCAGTCAGGAATATGCATTAAATATGAGTTTGGCTTTCTTCATCATCACTCCCATGACATCACTTAAAGATTTTACTTCAATCGCAGATTTTCTATCATTGCATTTATTATTGTTTTTTCCACTATAGGTACTTCACTTTAACAAAGTTGAAGGAGCCAAGAATGTCACCACAACCATAAAAATGCAAGTCTTTTCCAGAACAGAAGAGCGTCTAGCAAACCGATGCACTTGTTTTCAGAAGGTATTTCATCAAGTCTAGTGATCAAACTATGGGCATAGTCACATCTTCTCTTGCTTGTATTTTCCTTCCACGTTTGCATTTGCATATGTTTGCCTTCCTCAGACGTAGTGTGCACAATTAATTGGTACAGCATCCTGTGATACCTTCACCTAATGCAATACTTACTACATGCTTCCTCTTTTTTTAGGCAGAATTGCAAAAACTAACCTCAAATTTTCAAAATTTAAAATTTGATGTTGCCATTCTCTGTCAATAGATCTGATCTTTTTCCTTTAGCTCTGAGAAGAGATTTCTTTCTCAAATTATTCCTATTCAACAGCTAGCTATTTTAGGAACAACATGTTCTTTAAACAGGCATGGTTCCTGTCTCAGAGAGCTAATCACAAGAACAGAGCTGCCATTACACACATTTGATTGCAACATCAAGACAACAGAAACAGAACATTAACTTTTCCAGGCTACTTGCATTTGATACGTTTCAGAAATTGTCTCCATTTCAGTTGAATAGTTAACAAAATAAATTGACATGGAATTTCCCAAGATAGAACAGTTGCTTGTAATAAGCCTTAGCGTAATGTAAGTCACATTCCTGAGATGTTTCTTTGACATACTGGGAGGCGTCTTGTACCAAAGTATACACATTTTAACATAGCAGAAAAACATGGAAAAGTAAATGTAATCCTTCTGAGTTAGTAAAAGCCGTTTTTCCTCATTGACAATTCAGCTTTTTCCTGTCATCCTTCTTCTTTGTGGGAGTAAGCCATTTCCTTGCAGTCTGCCCACAAAGCCGCAACGGTGGCAAGTTCTGATGAATGAGCACTTGGATCTGCATTCCCCAGCTAAAACCTGTGGTGGGAAGATTTATTTTAGGGGCTATGTCAACAACCCATTTACACTGCATGAACAGGAGAGGGATTGTTCCTCATGAGTAATGCGTTCGAATTGTATGAATTACAGAGTGCTGTGAGTAGGGCAAAGTAACTGTTCTAACAGTTTAGAAATGCAAGTGTCTCTTAATGCCTCTGATTCCAATGTAATGACAAGAAGAATACAGCACAGGTACAGATTTTTAGTTTACTAATTCACAGCTTAACTTCCTTGAGTTCATTTGAGAGTCTGTGCCCCACTCATTTAATGCTGTTACTTCAATTTAAAGAATTTACTGCAACATATAAAAAAAAAAATCACAAAATATTAACATTAAGAGCAAGATTAAGAAATTTAGGGGCAAACTTTCCATGTAATACACTTGACTTTCATAAAGGAAAGTAGTCACATACCCACATCTTCATGCATCATTTGACAATTACAGTCTGTCTCTCATTCACTGGATATACTTAGTTTCACAATTCCACTTGCAAACCCTTAAATGTTTTGCATAGTTCAGGCTCTTAATGCTTGCATTTAGATATTTACAGTGTCAGTACCACCTCTGCACCTTCTAATGCTTTCGAATGATTCTTTTAATAGCTGTACAGTTTAGTCCACCTCTTGCATTACAGTACAGGTAACAAATCACCTGGATAGAAATACCTGGAGCTGTGTGAAGGGAAAAGTTAGAAATTTTGAACTATTTTACATAACAGATGGATAACGTCTTTTTTTTTTTTTCTCCTTTTCTTCAAGACAGAAATTGGCAAATCGGATAATATCCATACTGGGTTTAAAGCACTCAACTTTGAAATCAACCAACGCACTAAAAATTATCTCCTTAAAAGCGTGAACCAGCTATATGGAGAAAAATCATTGCCTTTCAGTAAAGTAGGTAGCCAATTTTTTCAGATTATGCTGTGTCATTTAACCTTTATGATCTATCTGTGACTAGATACCATAAACCATATAACCTAAAATATTTTCATTACCTCTGCAAGTCATGTTGTTGTCCTTAACATAAATGTTTTGTATGAGACTTTTCCCAAGACACTGGACATTAAAATTTTACTTTTATTGGATGCGTATCTGATTTCAGAATAATTTCCAGATGTAGTTAGGTGAGAGTGTTTTAGGACATAAATTGTGTATTTAAACTAAAAAATAATTTTTCCCTTTGACAAAATGCTGTGCTTGTAATCTAGGTAATTTTTACATGTTTTCTCCCTGTTTAGTTGTAGCTATTTATTAGCATTCATATTGGCAGGCAACAAAGATAAGACAGGTTTCTCTCTTGCACTGCAGGAATATTTACAGTTAGCCAAGAAATACTACAATGCAGAGCCACAATCAATTGACTTTGTGGGAGCAGCAGATGAAATCAGAAGAGAGATCAATTCCAAAGTCGAACACCAGACTGAAGGTAACCTCCAGTCTCTCCCCTCACAGTTAAAATGTTATTTTGGCATTGAACAAAGTCTCTGTATCTAAGGGGCCTAAAGCAGGTAAACAATTCACCTCAGAAAGGTAAATCAGATCAATTTTCCTAAAGCAGACATCTACTGACAAGCCCTTACAAAAATTAGTGTCCTGCATCTGAATATGGGAGCAATGTAGTTTACTCTTCTTTGCAAATCGAGATTATCCCAGTAACCACATATTTGTGAATAATCTCAAGCTGGATGTATGCCATATCAACACTTAGAATTTCCCTGGCTTATATCCATAAAAACTTTGCCAACACTCACACTGAAACAGTAAAACTGCACTAATGTGTAAATGTCCTGTTTTCTCTAGGTAAAATTCAAAATCTGCTGCCTCCTGGATCCGTAGATTCACTCACCAGGCTAGTCCTGATAAATGTACTCTACTTCAAAGGAAACTGGGCAACAAAGTTCGAAGCTGAAGCCACCAGGCAAAGGCCTTTCAAAATAAACATGGTATGGCAATATACTGTCCTATATCTTACACTGCAGGTGGCAAAAAAAAAAGATGGGGGAGAGAATTTCTGTCAATCTTTAAAACCATGCAGCATTAAAATTATTTCATTTAAAGCATACAGTTTATTTTCCTCACCACACATCACACAAAGACTGCACACACATACTGGCACCTGAGCCACCAGTAAAACTGTCAAGATGCTGACTTGAAATAAGCTTCCCTTCTCCAAAGGCAGAGAAAACAAAGAGGCCAACAAAACTGCATGGTTTTGTTCTTTATATTTTCATTTTTAACCATACAAAAAAATCAGAGTGGAATACAGATTCCTGTAATGGGTGTGACCTGAGACAGTTTAGATGGCCTGCCTAGCTTCCATGGCCAGGGGTCCTCTGCAGATCCTGTGTCCTACCATTTGGAGCCATAAGGTTGTCTCAGCACAGTGGCAGCTTGCACAGTAAATACAACAAACCTCCACTGTGCTACTTTAACTCAGTCCTTTACTGTTTAGTCAGAGTACAAATGGAAAACATTTAATCTGATCTGTTGCAGCATACAACTAAACCAGTGCCCATGATGTACCTGAGTGATAAGTTTAACTGCACCTACATAGAATCAGTCCAGACTGATATTCTTGAGCTTCCGTACGTCAACAATGACCTCAGCATGTTTATCCTTCTACCAAGTGGCATCACCGGCCTACAAAAGGTAAAGCAACTGAGAACATAAGTAATCTGAAAAATCAAGAGTGTTATTATTTACTTTATGAATGAGCAAGGTAAAAGACCAGGGTGCAGTCATGTTTCTGGGAAGAAGGGTACTGATCAGGCTCAAGGAAAAGCAAATCCCGGACGTGGTCTAGCACTGTGAACTTGAACATCTTGCAGCTCAGACTGGATTTCTTACTCTCGATAGCTGGCACTTCAGTGGTTCCTAACGTTGATCAGTCTTAGAAACAACCCAAACTCCATCAGACTGTCTCCTCTTTCAGCTGAACAAAACTGAGGACATCTAGCCAGCCCTGCTGAGATCCACTGTCTGTATCCATTCAAAAAGATACGTTTTCATTAAAAAAAAAAATCCCAACCAAGCCACAAACTGGGCAGCCTCCATTGCTTTCCAGGGTGTCCAGAGCTAATACATATGGACACTGCCACCTTCTGTACGGAGACAGATGCTGCCTTTGGATAACTAAATTCTCGTTCACATTAGTGGGTGTTCTGTAGAAGAAAAGCACTTTTTAGTAAATTCTCAAATGTAGGGAATACAGAAATGTGACCAGATTACTGAAAAACTACTACAAATCAACCAGCCTACTGTTACCTGACACTGATATTTTTGTTTTAGAACTATTTAACCCTTTCATATTCCCTGACAGTTACTGAAACCAGTTAAAATACCGCATTGATCTGCTGTAGAACAACATACTCCTTCAGCCAGAAAGATCTCCAGATTGGTCTTTCCCTACTTTCTTTCTTACACTCTTAAAACAGCTTGGAAAGGTCTCAATTTAAGAGAAGAAATAGCCCTTAGAGCACAAGTGTTTGAACACATTTTAATGGTCTGATTCTCTTTTTATTAACTGCAGCTAGAAAGAGAATTGACTTTTGAAAACTTGTCTGCATGGACCAGCCCTGAACTGATGGAGAAAATGAAAATGGAAGTTTATTTGCCCAGGTTCACGTTAGAGGAGAAATATGACCTCAAATCGACTTTGAGCAGGATGGGGCTACAAGACGCCTTCATTGAAGGTCAAGCTGATTTTACAGGAATGTCAGAAAATGGTGATCTGTTTTTGTCACAAGTTTTTCACAAGTGTTATCTGGAAGTCAATGAAGAAGGCACAGAGGCAGCAGCTGCCAGTTCAGCAACACTGGCATCACGAAGTCTTGGTGCTACTGTTATTTTTGTGGCAGATCACCCTTTCCTCTTCTTTATTAGGCACAACAAGACCAAAAGTATCCTCTTCCTGGGAAGATTCTCTTCCCCATAAACTCAACACTTGTTAAACAGACTCTTGAAACAACAATGAACAAACTGCACACCATGAAGAGCATCTCCTTAGTCCGTGAACTTCTTAATTTTCCTGTACTGTTGACAAATCTCTCAATGTTAGAAGAGAGCACATACAGAAAACAATCTGGAATTCACACCTCTTGCTCATTTTCCTAGCCAAAGAACCCCAAAATACTAGCACTACACTATAATCACCAAACTCTGCACAGAACAGTGCACTTTCTGAACCAGAGCTGCCACAATGCAGAACACACCAAGTTCTGATCTAAACCAGTAATTCCAAACAAACTTGCTTTGGTTCATAAGAAGAAAAGAACCAGGAAAAACTCATTTCTGCAAAAGGCTGTTGAATCTCCACTAGTTTCAGCTCACTGAGCTGGTCATCCCTTGACAGCTACCTTGCCACATTCTTCAATTTTATACCCATTTTTCAGCCTGGCACAGTTGACAATGAAATAAATCTGCAAAATCCTGTTCTGATGGAGCCTCTTTCTTGCACGCAAAGGGGCTAACACATCTACTTTCTAATCTTTGCCCCACAGCAATAGGAAAATATTAAACAACACTGTTATTTAATACTGTTGGAAGAATATAAACCACGTCTTGAAACCTTCTCCTTTGTGACCTTTTGTGCATTTAATACTGTTGCCAGCCCAGCACCCCACTGCTTTACTCTCATTTTGCTTTGCCACTTATTTCACCAGTTTGAGGCAAGATCAAATTAGATGATCAAGCCTTTAATACTAACTCCCTAAGAGCTTTCTGGAAGATTACATGCTGTCCTGGGTTCAGCTATAACAAGTATTTTTTTCCTTCTTAGTAGCTCGTGCAGTGTTGTGTCTTTTACTTTTCAGTCTGAGAACACTGCTGATAAACACCAACATTTTTAGTTGTTGCTAAGTAACACTTGTCCCAGTCAGTCAGTAAGGAGGGGCATGGGAAGCTGGGAGGAAGCAGAGGCAGGACACCTAACCCAAACTAACCAAAGTGGTATTCCCTACCACAGCACGTCATGCCCAGTATAATAACTGGGGGCAGTTACCTGGAAGGGTTAGATCACTGTTCGGGTAGGGCTGGGTATCGGCCAGTGGGTGGTGAGCGGTTGTATTCTCTTCCCTTGTTATTTCCCTTATCATTGTTATTATTGGTGGCAGCAGCAGTGATTTGTGTTATACCTTAGTTACTGGACTGTTCTTATCACAACCCATGGGAGTTACATTCTTTCAATCCTCCTCCCCATTCCTCTGGGAGTGGGGGGAGGAAGGGGGGGGGGGGCAAGTCAGCAAGCAGCGGTATGGTTCTGGGTTACCAACTGGGCTTAAACCACAACACATTTCATAACATATTTACTCCCATCACAGCCCTTTACCCTAAGAGAGTATCTTAATCGGTCATGCATGTTTGTAGGGGATGCTCCTAACTCTCTGAATTCACAACAGAGAGCAAAGGACTGGGTCTTTTACAGGACTTGCAGACTGCAACATCATCTTACTAGAAACATCTCTTCTTGGAATGGCAGGACTCCCTTTTCCTGACAGAGAGCAGACTGCTGACTGCCACTGAGTCCTTTTTATTTTCTTCATGTGGCTAGCTGCTTCCAGGGCTCCTTCTAGCTCTGCTTCCCAAATAGAAAGGGCATAGAAGTGTTGTGAAGCAAATGCTTATTCGATCCCCATACCTCCTCAATAGCACTACCTCTGTATCAGCTGTGAAATATGATACAGGACCACCTAATGCAAGGGCTTCATGTTGCCATGGCCAAGCCCCTTAAGCACTTCCTGATGTACTTCAGGAATAAAGACAGAAAAGACACAGCTGTGAGGCCAAGGAGGAACGTAACCATGACAACGTGCACCCAAACCAAATCATAAGCTATTAAGAACAATGGAAGTATGTGTCAACTTTTTTCTTTCCTTCAACTATTTTAAGCCTGGTTGCAAGGATGCCAGTTAATCCTCTTGGCAGTGCCAGATCATTACTAAGTGGCAATGATCACAACACTTGAAGGGTGAGCTGCACGTTAGGGAACAACTTTTTCCTCAAGTGAGCAGCACAGCACTAGAGAAGGTTGCCCAGAAAGGCTCCAAGCAGGAAGTTGGCCTCTGGATGTCCCTTTCAATTAACATGTGTGATTTTCTCTATCTTGTCAACAGCCTTCCTGCCTTGCCACCTCCCTTTTTCATCCTGTCTGGCATTCTTGCACCTTGATTAGCAAACAGAGCTAGCTTGCTTATCCTCAGCATACATTTTTAGGGCTTGGAGCCTCTCACTTTGGGGCTTGGGCTTTCCCACTACCTAACCATTCAGCTGACCTTTCTCCTATCCTGATTTCTTGAGGACTTACTCATCATTTTAAACATTTGTTTAATTTCGGTCATTTCTTCACTGCCTTGCACAACACTGATTTCTGCCACTTTTTACAAGACCTGACCCACTCTGTTCCTGTAATCTGGCTTGCAGCAAAATGCTTAGCACACAGTACAGTTTCCTTCCCTTCCTCCATTACCCTTCCCCTGTCACCCAGGGTCTTACAGTTGTTGCCACCACCTTCTCCTTCTTCCACCACCCAACAGCACGCTGTCTCTTTTCTGGGACTGCAGAGTGACAACCACTGTGCTATGTTTGCCCTCATTGTATTTTTTCACTCCATCCCTGCTCAAGCCCTCCCAGTGGGGTTGTTTTAGTCCTTGCCCTCCTTCACTACCTGCAAGTACTGTGCACTACTAACTCAGTGCTTTGTAGCATTTCTCTCAAATGATTCCCAGCCACAGCTGCAATGAGATTTCTTCACCACATAAATAGTGGGGTGTCCATCGCTTACCTGAATGGTTCTTCATGGCCTTGCCTCTGTCTATGTTCTTAATGATGTCCAGTCTGAATTTGGACTCCCTGTGTCTAAACCAATCATTAAGCTTGACATTTTATGCTGACGTACCACATCTGAAACCCAGGAGTCACAGCTGCACAAAGCTTCAGAGGAGAATCAGGCCTGCAGTACCTGCTTATATTCAGAAATAAAAACCAAGCATTCTAGTTGTGCAACCTTTTTACTAGTCTTTTATTTTAAACAACAGACCAGCTATCTTCAGTTATGTCCACAACACCAGAAGACCATTGGAACAGTCGAACTGTTCTGCTATCCCATCAGTAGACTATCATGGTGTAACAACAGAGCTGAGATCTTAAATCCATTGTCCCTTTGAAATGCCTAAACATGAAAAGTGACAAGGTCAACAAAGAGGACAAAGTTACGTAAGGTCTTTTGGGGATGTGGTAAAAAGGAACTTTGTGTAGGCGGAAACCACCTGGATGGAGGGGAGAAGGAAAGGGAGGTGCAAGGACTACTATATTTCTAAATGCATTCCTTGCTTAACACACAAACACAGAACCTGACTGAGGACAAGACATAAGTCTTCTCTCTCACAGGATCAGAGGTAAATATTTAAACCAATTTAAGTAACTTTCCTGATACTTTTAAAAATCAATCTGTTGCTTGTATGGCGTATAAGTTATTTAAAATATACCACTGTATAGTGCATTATTCTACAGATATTTTTCTAGACGTCATCCCTTAGAGAATATAGATCTCTGAGGCTAAGGAAAAATGCTAATTTGGGGCATAACATCACAAGAAGGGAAGTTTTCTTAGGGCAGGAACTGTCTTACTAATTAAAATCTTCAGTTTGCAACGATTTGCAACCAAACACTTGATAAATACCTGTAGACTTCAGAGGTTGTCCCATAATTTCTGTTGCTCCATTCCATAGATATAAATCTCAATAATAATATTAACAACAACAGCAATGACAACGTTTCTGGTCTCTTAACTCGAAAACATAAGGCAGGCACTATTGAGCAGATATTTTAAAGTCTGAAACACTCAAAACCTCAAGGAATCTGCCAGTTTCTGGGAAAAATAAAATTGCTGGAACGTACAGGAGGGATGGTAGGTAAACATCATGAGTAAAACTCTATCAGTGTAAAAGCAAATACCGGAATAGGTAGCTGGGCAGGAAAAGCACATGAGCCTAAGAGTTATGCCTAAATTCTTTCGCGGTTTCAGCTCTCACTTCTACATAGATCAAAGAGGAAGTAGTGGGAAAATCAGGTGTGTTGTGAGCCTATGTACTAAAATTCCATTTAAATTCCCCTGGAACATTACTTTGATAAATCATTAGTTAAGGACAAAAAGGAAGAAAAATAAGCAGCTTACAAGTTTGCACATTTTTGAAAACCAAAAGCACAAAGAAACAAAGAAAATGGCAGCTCTGTAGAAGAGGACATATGTAAAATCATATGAAAATATTATTTGAATAACAAAAAACCTAAAAGAAATTGCTGCTTATAACAGGTGGAAAACAGCATCTGTGTGGAAGATAAAACATACAACTAGGCTATTAGTTTTAGTGGATGCCAAGGCATCGTGTTGCACATGTGACATTTCTCACTAATATGCACTGTGTATGTAATTTTAAACATTCAAATAATACAATTCTGCCTCTTGCCTCTTTCCAGGTTGCAGCAATGGAACTGGTCTCAACATCAGTTGGCAAGTTTACAGTTGATCTTTTCAACAAGCTGAATGAGGCCAACAAGGGCAAAAACATTTTCTTTTCCCCCTGGAGCATATCATCTGCTCTGGCTTTGATGTACCTGGGTGCAAAAGGCAATACAGCAATAGAGATCGCAGAGGTAGGTTGTTCTATGAAGCATACATCCCACATGATACCTGCCTCCTATAATGGCTTGCAAAATTTAGTGCTAGACAGCTAAAGTTGCCACCACAATGAGAAGGAACCAAAGCAGACCAGAGAATGAATCAAGTGAATGGTAAATTTTACTAATTGCATAGCAGATCCCCCACTTCTCCATAAGAGAAAGTGTCCTGTGGGTATCACACACTAAGCACAGAGGTTCTCTGAACCTGACTTCTTAATTATTCTACACCTTCTAATTCATCCTGTGATTCTATGGTTCTGTCACAGATGGGATATTCCCTTTGAGAAACAAAGAGCTGGTTCCAGTGGCTCCCAACTGGCAGGAGGTTGCAGATCCCAGAACCCCCTCTCTCTCCCCTGTCCAGGATGCACATTTCTATCTTGATTTATGCTTGCCTAAACAACTGCCTGACAATCCAGCAGGAAAACAAGAAGGGCTTTGGTATCTCCACATTCTCTGATCCAATCCTTCTTACTGCCTGGCATATTGCTATCTCAAAGGAGATGTTCAGCACTGCCCAGGACTCTCCTCTGTGTCGGCACATTCTCATTCAGATGCCTTTGTACCATTATCTTAGGTAGAACCATTTTGGGTTTGCACAAACACACTGCTATTGCTGAGAGCAACAGCTGTGGAAAGTTCAGCCTTGCAGCATGCAAACAGAAGCACTGTGTCAATG